CACAAAGAAGATATTAAACTATTAATAGTGTTATAGGAATAAAGAGCCATTATTCCTGTTAGATCCTCAATGCAAAGTAACGTATATTTAACACTTCCTCATCGTGGAGTCCTTGAGTTACTTTTTAATAGTGAAGGATCACATAGAAAGAGATTCAGAATTTCAGATGTGTTATAGGCTTTTGTTAAAACAATATAAAACCCTCATAAAGTGACACATCTCAAGGAAATGAGTAAGGTGGCCGGGGAGAGTCTGAAGTGAGGCGAAGCCAGCACTGACAGCCCTGGATGTCGGTGGACTCCCTGCTGGTAAGGGGAGTGACAAGGATGTGTGGACGGATGGGGATGACATGGACCTCTCTGATGATGGCTATCCCCCTACCACCAGGCAATCCTAAAAAATTTGGTGGCCACAACAGGTGGTTCAAAAATCCATAAGTAGGGCTTTGAGATTCACTAAGGATCCCAATCTGTGGTTCTAGAACTCTTCCCAACACAGTTCATGAAGTGTCCGTAAGAACTGTTAGAAACATAAACATAAAATACACATCCAACCCCCCTTCAGTCCTTGAGGTCAGCCCACAGATATAAACGTGGGCCCATGGGGTAAAGCATATCCATTCAGTGCTCACGTCAGTTTGGAAACAGTATATGGTAGGTGTTTCACCCACTGCCTGACCTTTCCACTAGTTTATTCAGATTACAGGGGGTCGGGCACAGGCCTTCAGCAAGGACCGAGGTTAAGGCTCACTTCTGTACACAAAGGTTAGCATGGCACCCTTTACTGCTAGTGTCTTCTTGTACAATAATGGGAGTCCATCATTTCTCCGTGAGGCCCCTGTTGTCTTTTGGAAGGCTGCCATAAGACCATTTCCTCGTATACATTTAGTTAGGATTCCCCTTGACCCAAACCTTTTAAATCTTACTTACCTGATTAAAACAAGGAACCAAGTAAAAGTATCTCAGAGCACCTTAATTTAAAGAACCTGACCTAGAAATTGCCATATGGCCACGAGGTTTTAGCTCTGAGAGTAAGGGAAGGAATGCTGAATCATTCTGCTCCTAAGAGACAAATTATAACACACCCTGATTTCAGGTCAAGCTTATTTTTTTCTGTCTTGGTATCTGTCCCTGAGTTTGTGGCTATACTTGTGTTTTGGGGGACAGTTAATCCTAAAAACCTGTGGGTTATCAAAGACCTTAATTTGCACTAATGACTCTGTCCTCATATAATGGCTCATCATAAAAACACAAAAATTTACACATCCACTCATGATCTCCCAAACACAAAAGCTAATTACAGTAAAAGTCTCATATACTTTAAATTAGCCTTTAAAAGGCACCTCAGTCAATCATCCAACAAACATTAACTGAAGGCCTACTGTGGACCATTATAGAGCATAATATGAGGAATCCCCAATCATTTAGTGGGAAAGGGAACATAAGCTTTGTAAATAGATGTTATAATAAAATATGATGAATGCTATTTTAAAAGGTATGTACAGTGCTATTTGGCAGCAGATGGAAGAGAGAAACTGCTTGGGGCAGGGTAGGAAGTTCAAGAAAGGCTTTATAGAGATGAGTGACTTGAGCTGGATTATGAAGGAAGAATAGAAGTTTACCATGTGGGAGGGACCTGGACTAGACGGGCATCTCAGGCACAGCAAATTTCAGTGCAAGGGGTGGGATGAAGTCAGTGTAGGCTGGTGGGGGCAGGAGGGGGGACAGGTGTGGAATGGACGAGAGGAAACAGAAATTCTGGTTCTGCTGAGACCAGAATTACTGAGTATCAGTCCTTATTGCCAACCTGGATACCCTTATTGATGTTTGTAAGAGTTAATGTGAAAAAGGACCTACAGCTGTGCCTGGCACACAATAAACACTACGTATATTTTGCTTTGGCTATTACTATGCGCATTTTGGTGCCAAATTCATCACCATCTCAGTCCCAGGGATGAGAATAAATAATAAATATTAGTTGAATGAAAGAATGAAGAACTTGAGGTTTCTAAGAAGGAAATGAAGACGGATGTGATTCTCATGATGCTATATCCAGCAGAAAGGTGAAGGGCAGGTGTTTTCTATGGGACTGCTTCAGTCACCTGTAGGTCATTCCACTTTCTCCTGCAGTCTCCCCACCCAAATCTGTGCTGGGGAGTGTAGATCACTGGGTTAAAAATAATTACAAAACCTTGCATTTGCATAGCATTTTCAGTTTACTTGTATTAGCTTAAAAATAACTATAGTCTTTAAAACCAAAACTTTTCATCTCTTGTCTGAATCCTATTTCCAGATACAACCTGAAATTCTTTCTCTGGATTTGAGCCTCCACCGATGGAAGCTCAGGAGTGGATTTAAGCAACTGCCTGAGGCACTGACTCCTTCATCCACTCTTTCACCTTGGGGAAATGTTCTCAAGAAGGAATGGAGAGGATGAAGGCATGAAGACTTTGTAAAGATGGCACCTTAACTTCCTAAACTATAAAATTACTTTGTAAAGTCACTACCCAGCCTCAATTTAATTCAATTTGGTTCACTTCCACATCTACTGAGAAAAGGACTATAGGCTGCAGATGTCCCAAAGCGTTCTTATCCCACATCACGGGGCTTGGAATGAGGACATCAAGTTTTTAACCGTGCGTTTGCTGCTAACTAGCCAGATGACACTGAGCAACTCATGTCATCTCTTTGAGCATCAGGTTCTTCATTTGTAAACTGAAGGGGTGAGACTGAAGGGATGATCTCAAAGTCCTTACCAGCTCTCACATTCTATAAGTCTCAAATGGGCAACAGCATCCATAACATTATGACTATCTGTTTCTATATTTCAGAGCCAGTACATTCTAGAGGTTTTTGGGGTTTTTTTCCAGAGGGATATTTTGGCTTATCAAATTGCCAAGAGTTTTTTATAGTTTGAATACAGAAGGAACTGGGAAATAGAGCCCATAATCTTTAGTTATTCAAAATGTTGGAGTGCCTATTACGTACGAAGCACTATTCTCGTCACTATTACAGAGGATGGCTAGAACAAAACAAATGAGCTCTCTCTTCTCAGGGAACTCACTTTCTTGTGCTTTAATTAATCCACCCAACAAATAAACCTTTTGATGCTTTAGATGGCAGAGACAATGATCTAGTAAGTTTGCTTTATGTGTTTGTGATAAGTTTGCTTTATGTGTTTGTGATAAGTTTGCTAGTTCTGAACTAGCAAAAAAAAAAAAAATAGCATCAAAAATAGCTGTCTTCAATTTCTCCACTGACCAGGCAAATAACCATATAGATTGTGTTGTACTTTAAAAAGTAATAACTCCTGGTTCATTAATTGATTGAGAGACACATGACTTCAGTAAAATTGTGTTTAGTAAACAAAAGGGTTTAAATGCTTTCTGCAGCTCTAGGATTTAATTTTCTCTTTTTCTAGGGCTGATTCTTTAGAATGGGGGTTAGATAAAAAACAGAGAACATTTCCCCACTCTTTCACAGCATGTGTGATGGGTCTATAACAGGAACACGTGGAATTCTGGTTACTGTATCTAAAAAAGACATCATTACAAGTTGTAAGTAATAAAATGAAGAGCAAGCAAAGCAACCCTGGGTCTAGATCAGTAAAAATAACAGACTATCCCATGTAAGTATGGTACTGACACAGAATTTTAGAGCTGGGGGAATCTTAGCCCTTCATTTTATAAACTAGAAACCTGAGATTCAAAGACATAAAGTGACTTGGTCAAGGCAAAGCCAGGATACTTGTTAGCAGCAAAACTGTAATAAGAACCCAGGTCTGCAGATTCCCTGTAATTTAGTTCTACATTAACTGGGAGCTTTAGCAAGTCAAGGAGAGAGAGATGGTACTCTTTATGGTTGACAGACACTGTTTTAGACTAAATGTGAGACATCTAATGTTTGTAGTATATTTCTCCAATAGGCTATACAATCTGATACTACTTATCAAGGATTTTGATACAGTTTTGGATGAAACATCTAGAACAGATACATTCCACTAAGAAACAGGTCATATTCAAAATATCATTTGTAAGTAGCCAGTTCAGAATATGGAATCCCTTTCCCCCACCAAAGACAACTAACAACTTATGAGCTTATTTAAGCAAGTATGGTTGAAATCATATGAAAAGTATCCCAAGAAGCACCCTCAAATAGGGCCCAAATCCCTTTGAGTCGTACACCCCCCTGAAGTGGTTGCACCCAGGGCGAAAGTTCCTAATCCATAGATTCCTAAGTCAGAGTGCTGGCATTAAGAATAATTAAAAATACCTACAAACATTATTAACCTTTTGAGGTCAGGGCCACAGACAATAACCATATCTTACCAGAGAAATCTCTTGGACACAGCAGTGGAGAAACCAGTGAGACCAGAATGGTCTGTACCTGGCATCTTGGCTTTTCTGGAATCAGATTCAACATTTTTTTTTGAGGGTAGAGGATGAATTTAAAGACAACCCATCAACGATCTACTCTCCCACTTTACATTCAAGAGGTGACTCCAATCTTTCTCAGATTTCTCCCCATATGTAGGTTCCTACTTTGGGAATGATATTCTATGTAGTGCGATACTGACGCTGACACACTCTTGGAAAACTTTTAAAACACTCATGTTAATGGCAATTTTGTAAATTTAACGTGGGTTTCTATAAATCTAAACTGACAGGATACTGATGCAAGCAGAATTTGCAGATTTGGGATTGGCAGCTTGATTCCCCTCCAAACGACTTCAGGTAAATTCGAGTTCCTCCTAAAACAAAGTACCCTAAGTAGTAAATTAACTCCCGCCCTCAAATCTTGGCCTCAGGGCCGATGGTGGTGGTGAAAAGAAGCTCTCAAGGTGAGGAGCTAGCTCCAACCCAAGAGGTCTAGCTGGGGACAGCGGCCGGTTTCGGGGGCCCGAAGGAGACTTGCCTGGGGGAGGCCCGGGGCGCGCGCCCACTGGCAGGCTCTCGGGACCCCTGCGCGCCTCCCCGCTCTCCCGGGGCCCGCCGCACTCACCGAGGTGGCCGCCGATGACGGTGACGGCGATCTGGTCCATGAACACCGCCCGGAAGCGCACGTCCCGCTCCGAGCAGCGCTGCTGGAGGGCGCGCAGGATCTGCACCTGCGGGTAGTCGTCGCAGATGCGCCGGTCGGTCAGGAACCAGAGCTGGGAGCACATGGCGGGCAGCACGGCGGCGCCGGCGCGGCGCGGCGCGGACCCCTGGGCTCCCGGGCGCTCGCTCGGGCCGGCAGGCGATCGCGCGCCCGGCTCCGCTCCCGCCGGTGCGCCAGGCGCCTCTGCAGCCCTGACCCAGCGAATCTGCCGGCCACTGAGCGCCGCCGCCGGCCCCGGGCAGCCAATCAGCGCGCGGCGGCGGGCGCGGGCCGGCCGCGCGGCCAGCTGCAGAGGCGGCCTGCGGCTGCCGGGGGAGGGGTGGCGGGGCCGGCAGCCTGCGCCGGCCGGGAGAGGGGAGGCTGGCGGGGTTCGGGGCCCCGGGAGCCGGGGAGCGGTGGGCGGGCGACCGTGAAGCTGAGAGAGAGCACCCTGCCCTGGACCCCAGTGGGCGTGGCGCTGCCGGTCGGGGTGGGGCGGTGGGAGCGGGAGGGGCCGGGGCGGCGGCCGGGTGGCTTGGAGGGGGTGGCCCGGCTGATGGACTATTGTAATGATGCGCAGCGGGATGTGTCCCAAAGGTGATCGCGAGCTTGGTGGTGGTTGTGAGGGGATTGGGGGGTGGGGGGTGGGGAGGGGGATGAAGGGGCTGCGGTGACCGGTGGCCCCTTACTGAGCCTGGGCAGGGCCTCAGGAGCCTGGCGAAGGTCATCTGGCTAGGCCCCCAGTTGGACCTTCTCCTTGGACTTCTCAGCCCAAATACTGGCCTGGAGCTGGAGGTAGGGGTTGATGGGGAGTTGGGTTGTAGCCGTCTCCCGTTTAGATAGTTAGAAGGTACATTTCTCAGGGTCTCAGATGTTCTTGCACTGGACACCCCCTCCTAGTGTGCAGTTCTGGGGCTGTAGAATCTCAACGTGATGAAAAAGGATCTGTGACTCCTTTATAGTAAGATGGACCACTGGCTGGTCTTCCCCCTCAGTTCATACAACTGAGTCATCTTTAAACACCATCCTTGGTCCCAGCCAATTGCAAATTCTGTTTGCAAACAATAATGTTTGAAGCCCGATTTTCCTTTCTAAATAACTGCTAGACTGAAGTTAGCCATCTTTGGAGATTGCATTTGCTCTTCCAGTTTATTAAAATATATGTTGTTGTTTTGGCTTATGGAAGCAAGAGTAATTTCAAGGCAGGCCCGGCAATGACAACTTAGAAACGGGGAAAGATGTCTCAAGTAAGATAAAGGCTTCACTGTAAAGTAAATATTATGTAGGTGCATGCATTTAACCTCTAAATGAGCCTTTGGAAAAGTTTTGTCTAAACAATTTAAATTATTTTTCAAGCAAGGTTAAGTAAATTCTTTTATGTTACAAAATTCACCCCCCCCACACACCCATGTATGATTTTTTTTTAAAGTAACAGTAATCTATTCCCCTATGGATTAGGATCTTTCAAAACTCTCTTCTAATCCACAGATCAACTTGGACACTAGATGTCCCATTGTATGTATTTTCTTGATCCAGGTGCTTCCTACTGAGCTTCTGCAGTGTCATACGTAGGATGTCTGTAAGATGATCAGAACCATCATTTCCTGGAACAATCATTTGTATGTTAGAGTTAATAAATTTAATAGTTGCTTATAACCCATTTTCATAGTCATGTACACAGAGTAGAATGTTTGCCATATGCAAATGGCTACCAAGATCCCTGAAACCGGGACTTGAGGAGATCAGGACAGGAGGATCCAGATGTGTCCCTCACTTCCTCACTGTCTTTGCTCTCCCTCTCTAGGAGGTTGCTCATCATCTGTGATCTCCCTTTTCTAGGATGGGTAATAAGTGAGGAGGTGAGACAGTGGCATATCCAGTTAGGAAAGGGCTACGTTTGTATAGGATAATGTTTTGTTATATTGTTGAAATTCCTCAAGAACAGAGGTATTATCCCAGGTATAAGATTATAGTATTTTATAGTATTACTTCATGTACTATTTCTCCATAGATGACTCATGAGCTTCAGCCATATAAGAGGATGCTGCCCAGCCATCACCTCAATGTCTCTAAGGCTGAACTCGTTCTTTCCCCCTCCATTCCAGATTCAGCTGTCTTAAACAATAAGGGAAATGTATTATGTCAAGTAACAAGAAGTCTAAGGGTAGGACAACTCTAGAGTTAGTTCATGCAACATCTCAGTAACATCAGGGACCCAAATCCTTTCCATCTTTTTGCTCCGACACCCTTAGGCCAGTGTTCCCATAGTTTAAAAGGGCTGCCACAATTCTCGCTGACATATGCATGCACACAATGTCCAGCTGAAGACCAGAGACTGTTGCTACCCATGTGTCTCATTTTATTAGCAAGGAAAACCTGTCTCTGAAGCTCTCAAGCATACTTCCCACATGTTCCCACATGTAAATCAGTCACCAGCAAAGAGTTAGAAACCATCATGGATGGCTTACATTAATTATGATTCACCCCCTGTGGCTGGGAATTAGAATCTCCTCCCCAAGCACATGAAGAATTGGGTGAATACCTGGGAAAAGTTGGGGTTCTCTTAGGAGGAATGAAGAGAGAATAGTTGTTGGGAAGGCAAACAATCAGTTTGATACAGATGGCAATAAAGTAAACGTATCAGAATAAGCTAGGTTAGGCTGTGGGAACAAGTGATTCCAGAGGTTTATAACAACAAAGTTTTATTTCTCGAAATACCATATATGTTCATTGCAGGTCAGCTTGGCTGTATTCTAGGTTGTCTTTATGCTGGCATCCAAGCTGATAGAGCAACCTTCATCTGGAACAATGTTGATGTCGTGAAAGAGAAATAGCAGTCATGGTGAGTCTTACTCCGGATGGCTTAATACTTCTGCCTGGAACCTATACATGTTAGATCTGCTCACATATTCTTGATCAGAACAAGGTCACCTGGCCAAGTCCAAGTGGAGTGGGGAAGTATAACCCTTCCCCAGGAAGGGCCACAGAATTTTGTGAAACTTTATGACCAACAATATAGTCTGCCACAATTGAGGACCAAACCTACTCTGCTAATCACTTGTCCTCTCCCTGGGGTTCCCAAGGGAACAATACACAAGGAAGAAATTGGAATAGAAACTAAAGGATCGTTTTATTTGTAGCTGAGCTAGCACCCAATAACTTCTAGAACAGAACTCTTCCAAAAGACTGAGTCGAATCACATGACTTAGGTCTAAGGCTGAAGTGGAGCTTTTTTATTCCTGTCCCCACCTCCCCCAACACTAAAGTTTGGAACTAGCAGGCATAGGCATGCCCGCAGAAAGAGAAGATGATCAGGTGTGCAACGCAGACCAGCTTTCCTCATCTAAGTGTATCCTGAATGGAGCCTGGGCGGAGTCTTCTCAGCAGGCAATCTGGAGCAAAAGTGGCACACCTGGCTACGTGAACGTTCCATCGCTGCTGACCCCAAACACTGGTTAAATGTGGACTAATGAATGCCCTGGGTTCTGGCCAATCAGGTTAACAACTCCTTTTTCCTTTTTTATTTTTAATTTTTTTCTTTATTGATTAAGGTATTATATATGTGTCCTTATCCCCCCCATTGCCCCCCGCCACCTGCCCAATCATGCCCTCACCCTCACCCTCTGTTGTCTGCATCCATTGGTTATGCTTATATGCATGCATATAAGTCCTTTGGTTGATCTCCTTTTTCCTTTTGAAGGTAGCTAGTAAGAGGGCAGGGAGAGGCCCTAGCCGGTTTGGCTCAGTGGATAGAGCGTCAGTCTGCAGACTGAAGGGTCCTGGGTTCGATTCCAGTCAAGGGCACATGCCCGGGTTGTGAGCTTGACCCCCAGTAGGGGGCGTGCAGGAGGCAGCTGATTGATGATTCTATCATCATTGATGTTTCTACCTCTCTCTCCCTCTCCCTCCCCCTCTGAAATCAGTAAAAATATATTTGGGGGGTGGGGTGGGGTGGGGTGGGGGGTGGGAAAAGAGGACAGGGAGAGGAGAAGGGAATTCCTTCCTATGCTCCCACTTCCTCACTTTTGTTCTCTCTTAATCCGTTAGGAAGAGGAGTACAAGAGTGCACTGCCAAACAAATGCATGTGCAGGATCTATTTGCCGCCTTATGTAGACTGAAAGCCTTGCGAGAACAGGGCCCAGTGCCTTGTGTATCATGTTTTACATGTGGTGAGTACTCAGGTACCTGCTGGTAACCACTCTAAATGTCAGTTAAAAGACATCATTGCCATTTCAGTTGACAAAACTGGTCAATTACAGATACACTAGGTTTTTGCAACCCGCGATTCTAGGGCTATATATTTCTTCTCTTACTTTCAACCTTCACTATATTTTGGCACAAAAGGGTATTGAGATGTGGGTTTGGACAAGGGGAAAAAAGGCAAGTCTTCTAAATTACATATGACCCCAAGCAAATGGATGTGCTAAGTATATAGAAGATCAAAATTCAATTGACCTCAATAAATTAGAGAAATGGTCATCAATAGCAGGTTTAAATGCATTAGAATAAATGGAAAGTAGTACATTTTAGGAGCAAAATAAGAATCACACACACATACTGTAGATTCAGGAGAGAAAAATTGGCCATGCAGAAACATGGCCAAGAAAGACCTGTTAAATGTGGCAAACCAGTGATAGAATTAATAGAAAAATTACAGATATATTAACAAAAGCCTATGAAGCCAAATTCATCTTCATAATCCCTGGGACTTAGCCTGGCACATAGTAGATATTGATAAATATTTATTGGGAAAAACAGTGACTTTGCCCAGATTGTCCATGCTTTTCCCTTCCTCTGAAAAGCCTCACGTGACCAATTCCTATGCACTCATCAAGACACAACTCAAGGTTTGTAAAAAATAAAGGATCCAGTCCTAGCCAGTTTGGCTCAGTGGATAGAGCGTCAGCCTGTGGACTGAAGGGTCCCGGGTTCAAGTCCAGTCAGGGGAACAGGCCTGGGGTTTTGGGCTCGATTCCCCAGTAGGGGGCGTGCAGGAAGCAGCCGATCAATTATTCTCATCATTGATGTTTCTATCTCTCTCTCTCCCTTCCTTTTCTATCTCTCTCTTTCTCCCTTCCTCTCTGAAATCAATAAAAATATGTGTATATTTTTTAAAAAGACCCAACTCAAATGCAACTTCTTCCATGTTGCCTTCCCTACTCTCAACTAGTAGAAATCTCTCCATTTTGAATCCTCATAAGCAATTAATAACTGCTAGCAAT